AAGTTGTACAAGTTATCGCTACATTAATGGGCATGTTGTACAAACTCCTTTAATTTGCGTTTATTTTGAACGGTAAATAACCGAAAATGGATAACTCAGCCGAAATAGGTACGTGCTTTCGTTGAATTTCATAAATGTAAGCCGAAACAATGAAATTGTAAAAATGAGATTTTACAATGAGACTGCTCGCAAAATTGCAATGTTTGTGGGCAAAACGTCCAACTTGATTGCGAATTGATTTTAACCAACATTTTGGGCTTGCATTATGTCAAAAGGATGTGTTTGTTGTAATTCATTCTGTCATTTACTACCATTATGCGTAGGCCAATTCATGAAATCATTTCATGCGTTTGAGTAGAAACTGAATGAATGAACACCATTTCGTGATTTCAATTAACCCGAAATAGAGTTTATGCACTTAGTTTTTACTCGATCGATGAAATGATTTCGTGAATTGGACTACGCATACATGTGATACTTATGCTTTTAATTTATAAGGTAATTTTATGTTTTTATACTCTTGAATTCGTGATAAGAATATATGAATTCGCCTTGGAAGATAGAAAGCGAGTAAGAATAAATGCCGAACAAAAGAATTTGTCTTCTTTCAACTTAAATAAATGCATTTTGCAAACAAAAGTGCGTACGTAATGGCGAATTCGTAAGGATCTATTGACTGCATTATAAACATTTTCATTTATTTGTTAAACATACAATTACTTCCCTTACAACCCGGTTCTATGGATGCTAGAAGCGCGAATTCATATAAGGTTGTGTTGCCGGAAAATGAATAAATAAATTATATGTATATCAGAAAATTAATAAGATGAAATGAAATTATTGTTTGATTTCTAACCAAACCTATGTATGTAACTCAATCGCCTAATGGTTTGCCGAACCGTAAACATACACATCCAGTTTCGTGAGTAGGTACCTGGTACTCACACCTTTTTTAAGTAGTTTCATTTCTATCATGTGTACGGTGTTACATACGCTTTTTTTTTCTTTGAGTCGATGCATCAAAATGTACATCGATATTTTTCGATGCATCGAAGGGCATACATCGATGCATAGATTTGCATAGGATTTTTCAGATAATGTTTAAGAGCAAAATATGTTATTAGCAAAATTGTAGAAAATTTGGAATAAATTACTGCAACTGAGCTAGTTAAGTTTTGAACGGAACAACTTGCAGCCATTTAAATTTTTTGGTCAAAGTCACATCTCTTTCTTTAACAATTGAATAACTGGAATGACGGTTCAATGTACCGCGAGATGTCAGTTTTCAAAAACATGAATGCATCGATACATCGAGTGGAAAATTTTTGATGCATCGAGGCAAAACATCGATATTTTCGATGCATCGATGTTTTTCCGACATCCCTACATTATTTGGAATTTTGGAAAATGGGCGTGATACCGCCCACATATGACTATATGAGTTTATCTCATTATATCTAACTGAACGTTCTATCGAAGATGTTTAAAATAGGGGTAAAACCCCCCTGCTTACCGCGGTAGTTTTCGGAAAGGTGAAAAACATATATTTAATACTTGCGCCAGGTATTTAATGTTCGGCTCCGCCCGACTTAGACTTTCTTACTTGTTTTTATTTTATTTTAATTTTTTTGTTATTTGCGGATTCAAAATTCTCGAACATTCATAGGGAACCACCTCTGAATTCCTATCAATATGCAAATAGAGCAGCAAGGTCCACGGACACAGCCCTCTATCAACTGACAACCGAAATCCACAGTTCCTTTGGGTGTGAACTGCGATCTCGATATAGAGGGAACTTTCTACAACACATTACATATTGGCGCTCGTAGAACTCCGGAAAAAGTTGCAACTTGTTATAATAACAACGACAGAGTTGCCAAAGCACAAAATAAAGCTAAATCAGTAAAGGCTAATAGAAAATATCCCGAAAACCAGCAACTCTTGGAAAATGCCTATACTAAGCAGCCCCCTAAACAGGGCAATAGCTGGTGTAGCAGCAACAACAAGCCCTACAAAAATCACAACAACAATGCCAAAAAAGGCTATACCCAATTATAGAAAAAGTAGGCACAATAGTGCCATTTTTGGCACTTTCATTCACAAGGGCACGTTTGGCGCAATTCATTCAGTTTTGGATCATAATTTATAGAAATTTAGCCAGTATATAACAAACAATCATATACTCATGCTGCCCATTACTCATAGATTCGAAAAGTGGAAATTAAAATCACTTAAAAGTTAAAATAAGGGCCATAATATACAATTAATAAAAATTATTCAATGTAAAGAAGAATAGTCAAAACTGGTCAAAACGTCGCACTGCTGTCATTTCGCACATAGGTATGTATATGTGTAAACAGGTCCGAATAGCTATATTTCAGTGTTTTCCCCTTCGTAATTGCAATATTGTGTTATTTTACTATGATTTTACTCTAATAATTCAATGGAATACATTAAAAACACTATTTCTAAAAATACATATGTGGTTCTTAAAAGCCTTAAAAAGAAATTAATTTCAATTTTGTGGCACTTTCATCTCCTTTTTGGCACTACTTTTGCAGTCCATTTAGCACATTTTGAAGTTTTGGAATTCTATCCCTGGCTCATACCCATCATCAACTTGGATTTAGAAATACAGACTTGTTGAGAAAATATGTGCAGCATTTGAGAAAAGCATTACTACACAACTGCCTTTCCAGATATATCTTTTATTTCGGAATAAAAAATATTTGGCCAAGTTTAACTCGTAAAAAAATAACTGTAATCTTCGGTCCCTTCAATATTCGCATTCTCAAAAGATCCGCATTGATTTTTGCGAATGCGAAAGCGAATGCGAATGTTATAATTATTGCAGAAGCTCCGCGGTGGCGAATGCGAATATACGCAACAACCCTGGTATGTACATATGTACATATTTCGAAATTTTTTTTATTTGTAAAGGCTCTCAAGAAAAACTAAAAATCATATAAAATTACGCACAATAAATGGAAAATAAATTTGCTTATATCCGCCAGGCTCCCGTTTCCGAATTCGCAAAAATTTTGCGTTTTAGTTTTCAAATCGCAAAATTACGTGCTCCAATATTCGCAAATCGGAAAATTTTTGCGGTT